TTTTACTATCTCTTTATATTTGTGAATTTTCTTCCTTTCCTTGCTATTTTTTTACAGATCTTGGAAATTAATTTAAAAGACTGTATCAAATCTCAGAGTTTTTGTTAACTACGATGTTTTTAATGTTGACATCATTAGTTACTTTATCCTTTGTTAAGAATAAAAAAACACATAAGATATTTTTTACTTTGTATGTTCTATTATTACGCTTGGTGACATTTAAATAGTATTCGACTAAAATATTAATTAAAAAAACCAAACTTAATTATCATTTAGATTTTACCAGCGTATTCTTTCTTCCCTCAAGTAAGTTATTTACGCGAATGTGCACCTTTTCATATGATGTGTGTATTACTCTTTCATTTTCTTTTATGTTGTGACGTGACTTTTACTGAAAGAAAAGATTTGTTTATATTTTTCTGCATATCGTTGCATGTATCTTGGAGAATATAACGATAAATGTCATTTCAAATTGCGATGTCAAGTGACAAAATAGCGAACGAGTGATTTCGGAACTGTGTTCTATAATTATTTTATAATACAGGATGATCATGAATATTATTGATACATTTACATATAATTAACCCTTCGGTGCCACTCTATACTGTTTTGTCACACATTGATCACATGAGTATTATATAAAAATATCGCATAAAAATGAATATTATAATACATACATATTATAATAAATTAATTTTTAATCAAAATCCTAGACATTAAAGAATAAAACAGTAATAAACGAATGTGTGTATCTTTATTAATAAAAAATTATAGTATAGCGAAATAAAAAAAGCTTTCGGTATGTATTTCACACTAGAAGTAGCATCGAAGAGTTTAGAAGATATCATTCTCTTACTTCAAAATAAATAACAACTTGAAAAAGTAAAGAGAAAAGAGAAAAATTATATTTGAACTTGACAGGAAATTATTGACTAATCAAATAATAAATAAATGAGCAAAAAAATTTTGTTTAACATGATCAAATTTTATTTTTGTCATTTTCGTTTCATAATTCTTAAATTATTCCTTTTGAATTGTGACGATTTTGACGATTTTTTCTGAACTCGATAGATTAATGTTTATTTAACTCATTTATATAGTAATAACTTGAAAATGTTGTTTGTGTATGTTTTTTTTAGTTGTGCTACTTTTGAAGTAAGGAAGCGATATGTAATCATTTATTCTCGCGCCAGACTTTGATGTTCGATCTATTCTTAATAAATTCTAGTTCTTAGTTCTTTAATCGTAATTATTTACCTTTCGCCAGGATTTCTTTTGGACAACTTCTTTACTTATTTCAAATTGAGTATTTTTACGTTTGGCTTCGATCTTTCAACAGAAGAAACAACAAAAAGAAAAGAAAGGATCTGTACTTTTCTGTCGAGAAAACAATTATTCTCCGAGTCATTCCAATTTACTCTCTTTACGTGACAATATCGAATTTCGCAATCGAGAATTCGCGTCGAGAAGTCATTCCGGATTGTCACATCGAGCATGGACAATCCTTGTTCTGTCTGGCTCAGGAGAGAAAGGGAAATAGAGAGAAACAAATTGTACCGAGACTGTTTCGATAACGCGGTCGATGCCGCGAAAATGAAAAGACCGAGCAACTCGTTTGTTATTTATTGCTTGCCGTGATTTGGACCAGTATGAAATAGTTTTTGGGAACGAGCGATGATCTATATCAGGCATTAAACCGTATACATCGAATATATCTCTCGATTCATTAGGTTAGACGAGCAATTTCCGGCTTAGGCGAGATCGTTATGTCGTAGTTATTAACTCTAAACATGTCAATCGCTATTCTATAAGAAATGTTATTGTCCCTTGTTACCCTTATTTCTTGTATAAACCTTTTTTTTTCGAACTATAAAAATTGGAAATACTTATAAGGTTAATAAAGTAAATAAAGTAACTAATAACAAATAAAGTAAATAAAGTAAATAACTTATAAGGTTAATAAAGTAATAAAGTAAAAAACCGTAATAAAGTAATTTAAGACAAAATCCGAAAATTTAACAAGCAGATTTAGATTTTTCTTTAACGAAAAATTTAAAAAAATAAAAATTTATTATAATTTTAAATGGACTATATTTCAATAAAATTTTTTTTAAATTTAATTACAAATTTATATAATGTCAATAATCAAATTGAAAAAGATAGATAACGAATCAAATTTATCCAAAGAAAATATCGATTTCAGATTTAGCCAAAAGATATATCGGTTTGGCAACTTACTTTAGCATCGATATTTGTCTATCTACCTTTTGTTTCCATAAACGACCTAAAATCGATAAAGAGCGCTACCATGTCGTGCGGTATTTGTAGTAAATGCATTTCTTTGAACCCATTTTCCTTTCTTCTCCTGTATCCGTGATTTACTGACTGGTCGTGACGCTATTACAGTAGCACCTTACGAGTGATGTTAGTTAATTAGGTCGCTCGTTTTCAATGCGCGCGATATTATCGTACATGCTTGTTTCATTTCGCGTGATATGCTCGCTGTAAGTTCACCACGAGTGATGAACTAATTATCGGTTAAGTGTTACAGGGAAATGACGTTCCTTCACGTCAAATTCGCAGGCATTCCCTCGATTCGCGCCACGTTGCAATCAGGGTTGTCGCACGATCGCAAATTGAACGTCTTGACGGTAACGTCTTGGTGGCCACGTAAGAGGAATCCGGGTAAAATTAGTCTGGTAGCGTTTAAGAGATGAGGAATACAATCCTTGGCTTTCTCTTGAGAAAATTAAATAAAGATGTCGACCGCAACCCACCTCGATCTCACATTATTCCGGTGCAATTCCCCTTGAGAATTCGTTTTCTTTCAGCGATCCTCCCATGCTCCTCGGTCTTTCTTTTCATCGTTATTGCAGTAGCACATGAGATGGATATCTCAAGAATGTGTCTATATATCGAGTCTTATTTACATTTGCCGACGCTACACTTTTCATTTTACCATGTCGCCGGGATCGATTCGGTTGCTCGAAAAATTGTCTCTTCAATGAGAAACAGGAAAAGAGAATTCCAATCATATTAGGTGTAGTAAAAAGAAATCCATTATTTTTGCATGAAATTGAATGGAAAAATAATGGATTTCTTTTTACTACACCTAATATTTATTTTTGAATTTTAATAACGTCAACGAAAATTCGATAGAATTTCATTTCTCATCATGCAGATGAGAGACTGGAAGATGATGCACTGGAAGAATTACATTTTATTTCGCTATACTTTCGTTGTATTTTTTTTTCTTCCCCAATATCAAATTTCGCGAGAATGCTAGATAATGTGTCACAAGTATCTATTCAATAAGGTACAGAGACCTACGTGGTGGCGTACAATTTAATGAACTTCGACTTTTAACGAGATTCGAATGTGTAAATTTCTAACATTAGAAATCGATAACAAAATCGATTATAACAAAAACCGACAAAGACACCTGCGTCTGACACAAGGGATGTTGATTAAAGTCGGAAGGTTTCCTTTGACGAGGAAGTTTCGAATTTAATCTGTATCTCCATCAGTGATCGAAGTGCTTTTCAGTGAGACGATATTTCGATCTCAATTGCAAAATTGTTAAATGGTCTTTTCTCTAGTAAAAAATGAAGAGAAATTCGCTTTCTTCTAATTACATCATTCAGTTCTTTTTCAATATTTCCTTACAGTTTTTATTTTATTAATATTTGCTATTGTATACTTTTTAATATCAAAATAGCGAACAAAATATTTGGTAAAATATTAAAAAATTGAAACCTATTTATATACACATATATAATGAAATTATAGATCTGTGTTTACAGAGATAGTTGTATTTATTGAATAGTATTTTTATGCAAGGCGAAAATAAAACAAAAAAAAAGAGAGAGAAATATATAAGATTGATTAATGCGTGAGATTTTACATATTTCATTTTAACGAAACTACTACTTTAACGAAACTAAATTTATAAATATTTTATTCGTTTCATCATTCTGGGATTAAAGTGGATCTTTAATCCTACGATGAAAACGCTTTTTCCCGGATGACTCATTAATCATTTCCGTTCATTGTCAGTGCGCGGCTATGTCTTATACTATCATCAATAAACAGCGTTTATTAAATCGCACATTACACGTGGAAACATAAAGTTTGCCGGACAGGACGCAGGGATAAGCCGGAACAGCCAGAGGAAATCTCAGGCTTCCGCATTCCCGGGTGCATCACGTACGTGTCTGCGCGTGCTCTTACCACTGGCACTCGGATATTCCGGTGCAATTACTGTGCTATTTGACGGATTAAACCTTCCCTTTCTACTCATGACTGCGCGAAACTTCGCCCGATATAATTGCGTGCGTGAGTGCACAATGCTAGGCCGTTTAATCGTCACGAATAGTGCGAATTATGTCTCGGGAAATATATCATTAGTGAACTGTTCAACGCCTTACGCATTATGGTATACCTTAATGATTAGCAATATGCAATTGTCTTATTAAATCGATAGTTATTGAAATTTTTTAAAATAAATTATTTAAAGTTTTAAAGCTTATATAATAGATAGCTTATATCAGAGTAATATTAAATTGTTTATCAATACTATGTGTAATACTTTAGTCTAAGATTGTGTTATAAGAAATAATCGCACAGTTTGTTTGAACTGGAAATTGTAAAATTTACACAAAAATATAATTATTATGCACCAAGACCCATCTTGACCCAATGTGGCCCATTTTATTCATTTTTATTATTCATATCTTGAAACTTGCCGGCAAAATAAAAGGAGATATTTTTCGGAAGAAGTGCATATTGATTGTCATAATTCGTCTTTCCGATATTTATATTCTCGCAAGAAATTATGAAATCTCCCTATTATCATTTACATGTTTTTCTCTATAATAATTACATTCAAGTGGCACGTGGAGTGATCGACTCGGGAATTTTAGTAAATAGAACCTTTCAGCTTGGGGTTCTCTTCCTTTTTCTCTTTTGAATATTCATATACAGTAATTTCTGTGTTGCAGATAGCGAAACTGTTCTCTTATACATGGACCATGGGTATCTTTCTATGCAAAGCAGTGCATTACATGCAGAGCGTGTCGGCAATCTGCTCGGTCGTCACCCTTACTGCGATGTCGATTGAGAGGTGAGATTATTTCTGCCATACTATTCCTGTTGACAATTGATGATACGTCATGATTATTATGATCGTATGTAAATCGCAAGCGGATCATTTGAGTATCGATTGTATTAGAAAAGGATTTGCGAATGTTCGAGAGTCAACGAGGATAGTACATGCTATGGTTTGTATAAAGTATTATGCCATAACAGGGTCATGTAAATCAATTGTGAGCAGCTTAACATTTATATTGAGTAATTTAAAATTGTAGCACACACACACACACACACACACACACACACACACACACACACACACACACACACACACACAAAATTGCATATGTATTTGTAGCAAGAATATAGAGATTTGATTTTACGAATATAAATATTTATGTGTGAATATTTCTTATATACTGGATATAATATTTAATATTTATTGCAGAAATTTTCTGTTTGTTCTTTAGACATACATTTAAAATCTCTTTATAGATACAATCTAAAGAGAATGTGGTATAAATAATTTCAAAATACTTGTACCAAAATTTTTTATAACTTGTAAGAATATAAATTTTTTGATAAGTACATTTTTTTTGAAGAGAATTTGTTCTTCTTTAATTTCTTTTTATCATTAGAACTTAATTTATTTTATCGTATGAAGGATCGTCTGGTTATGCAATCATTCCTTA